CCAGCCAGGGCCCTGACTTAAACCCAATTGAGCATCTCTGGAGAGACCTAAAAATTGCTGTTCACCAACGTTTACCATCCAACCTGACCGAACTGGAGAGGATCTGCAAGGAGGGATGGCAGAGGATCCCCAAATCCAGGTGTGAAAAACTTGTTGCATCTTTCCCAAAAAGACTCATGGCTGTATTAGATCAAAAGGGTGCTTCTACTAAATACTGAGCAAAGGGTCTGAATACTTAGGACCATGTGATATTTCAGTTTTTCTTTTTTAATAAATCTGCAAAAATGTCAACAATTCTGTGTTTTTCTGTCAATATGGGGTGCTGTGTGTACATTAATGGGGAAAAAAATTAACTTCAATGATTTTAGCAAATGGCTGCAATATAACAAAGAGTGAAAAATTTAAGGGGGTCTGAATACTTTCCGTACCCACTGTATATAGTCAAAAATATATTTTTGCTATAACCAGTCACACTTCCCAAAAGCCATGTTATCCAGATGTGCTATTAGCTGACTAAGCAACAACTGTTTTGCAGTCCTGACACGCTATAGAAAAGTGGCAGTGGCCAAGAAGTCAGAGGTAATTACACTGATTGGCTAGTTAATGTGTAACAGTTGCATAAATATCAATCATTAGAAAAGACTGACCTGCACCGCAAACAAACACTGAGCTTCCGAGAGTGACCCCTGCCCTCTTGCAGGCATGAATGCCCACTGACAAGGGTTCGATCAGGGCTCCCTCCTCATAGGTCACATTATCGGGAAGCCTGCACACACACACAGCCATATACATGATTATTATGCAAAAAAATGAAAGTGCTATGGACTCCCTCATTATATAAACCAGTAATCCAGTAATAGTGATCTGACTTGTAGCAGAAGTTTGCATTGTGTTTGTAGTATCTGCAGAGGTTTCCATCATCTGGAGGAGTGGCACAGAAGAATATGCTGGGAGACAGATTGTAGTGTCCAGATTTAAAGAACTCATCTACTTCACGAGGAACTCCAGGCTCAACGGCAACTCTGTCTCCTGTTGAATACAAAACAATGAAAGAAAAACTCACTTCATCTGAGTTTAACTGACATAATATTTCAAACTAAGCCAAATCAAGAGAGAACTAACCTGCTTTGAGGTGCGTCACAGCAGAGCCCACTTTCACCACACGACCAGAGGCTTCATGTCCCAAAACCATGGGCTGTTTCAGCACAAAGTCCCCAATGCGGCCGTTCTGCCAATAGTGCACATCTGACCCACAGATGCCCACAGAATGCATCTGAAGTAACACCTCTTCGAAAAATAATGAATAAATAAGAATATTAAACTGTTCATCATCATTGCAATGCATTTGGAAATATTACTAAGAAACAAATCTATACCATTTGGTCCTGGTTCCGGAATGGGACGCTGCTCCTGTTAAAATACAGTCTATGGTTAAAATGCAGAAAAATCTGCAATTATAAATCGCAAGTGCAATCAGAGTTCAAGGGTTGCAAAATCTTCACCCAAAATGCATAAAATGTCATACCAATCTGAGATCTCCTTTAGAGTGCAGGACCACGGTGAGGTTGTCTTTTTCCATTTTATTAACTTATACACGTACAGCCCAAACTCCAGAAGACCTATGTACTCCTAGCAAGCTTTCGCTCACATATGCACTGATGCCCCTCACGGCCATCCCACTTCTTCCTGTTCTCTGGGAAGTTATTCAAGAACATCCCAACTGCGCTCTGTGCTGCGCATGCAGAGCGCAGCGCAGTCTGTACAAAAACATACAGACAACTGCGATCAAAGAAAAAAAAACTTTCTGCATTTGAACATTGTCCCTAAAGAATAAACAAAAATAACTATAAAAAGCATTCCCCTTTGAGCGCTACATCGTCCAACGACTCGAGTTCATTTAAAGACTGATGAATATCACCATTCTGTGTACAAGAACCGTTCATGGCGATGATGACAAATCTAGCTTCTCTATTCAATACCGCCTGTATTTCTGATATATCGTGTTTTTATTAAATGAAATAAAATGAACGGGGATGATATGGTACTGAAATGTCTCAGCAAACAACAGGAAAGTCTGAACATGAGCCATAGGGGTCTAGATGTTTTGCCACCTGGTGTTTCCAGACTTGTTACACTGAAAAAAACTTGTTCTGAACAACAATCAGCTCATTTTACCACCAGACGAGGTACTCCTATCCTCAAACGTACTATGTTTTTCAAAGTAGATACTCAAAAAACACTCATTGAATGAATTTGTTGCACATATCACATGTAATAATGTCTAGCAGAAATCATGTCTAAAACAGTGTTCGCATTCCCTGTAAGATTCTGCATCTGGAAAAGCTTGAAGAACTGATACTGGATAGAAACCAGCTGACCATGCTTCCTGGCAACATTGGATCACTGAAACACCTGACTTACCTGGGCGTGAACCACAACCCATTATCTGTTCTCCCAGAAGCAATAGGTGACCTGAGAGAACTGAGAGAGCTCTGGGCTGTAGGATGCGGTCTTGTCTCTATACCATCATCTATTGGTAAACTTGGGAGGTTAGAGAAACTTGGGCTTCATAATAACAAAATTACACACCTGCCATCACAATTTGGGGGTCTCAGCAGTTTGCAATGGTTAAACTTGGCTGATAATAAACTTCAAGACCTCCCAGAGGATGTTAATCACTTAAGAGTCACTGGTCTTCATGAACCTGGGCAAGAACTGTTTTACACACATCCCTACAGCACTGACAGGTTAGAAATTTTCCATTTAATTAAATTACTATTTATGGCATGAATGTGTGTTAAAACAGTTTTAAGAGGACGACTGGCGACAGCTTGCTGTAAGAAGCCGCTGTACCTTTGATCTGTCACTTTGCTCTCATTACACATATCGTTAATGTTTATAGGACTAATAGTTACTCTTTCACTGTCATTATTATTCTAATAGTTATTAGGTATAAATCCTTGTTTGTTCCCGTTGGTCCTCATGTGGACTTTTTCGTGTTCTGTTAATTTTGTTGTCATAACTATTTCCAGACATAGCAAATCTGCAGATCCTGTCTGTTAAATTTAACAGCATCAGATCACTGGAAGATTACTTAATCCCTGGTTTCAGCAGACTTATAAAACTTGACCTCAGCGAAAATCTTTTAATGGACAGACCACCTCACTGGAAGGTAATTAACCATCAACAGAAAATAAACAGGGACACAGTTTTGTTTTGAAGTATGCCACTTTAATGATATTACTACTGTTATTCTCTGTAACCTGTCATATCCCCTTTGTTCACATACAGGGATTGGATTTTATATTGCTGGGAAATGTCTGATACGCTGCGGAAGATTCATATGAGATGAGTAGGAACTGAAAATAAGCATCCATTTGCATTAAATATGTTTGTCAAAGAAACGTATAAACAAAGACAATCCACTTCTTATGTGTAGCATATTATATTACATTTCTTTGTGACAATGACGAGGTGTCACGTCATTAGATCTTGAAACATTATGGCCATGGAGGGAGGGAAGAAAATCATAAAGTTCCCCTGAATACTTCTTAATTTGGTCAATATGAACATATCCTGCAAATGAGACGGTAATAAATGGTTTGAGGACATGTGAATTATAGGTCAAAGTACTATGGTGTCAGTTTTGTTTCTTAATTAAATACCTGAGATCATGTTGTTTACAGGATATTTCCACATCTCACTACAAGAACACACTTTGTTCGGCGATGCAACAGTCTCGTAATCGTCCTGGCTAATAGATAACATGAGGTTAAACCATGCTTTTATGAAGATAAAGTGCTGTGGTAATGAAAATAATATTTAGACCTCATTTGTACAGTAAACTGAACAATATTAAAGAATTATGTGTTTAAAAAAATGAAAATTCACTGAAATAAATGTATGCATTCTGCCAATAACTATAAAGAACTAAAGAACTAAAAAAAGAGTTAATGCATACCTGTTCTTCTCTCTCACTGCTTGATGTTCAGTCTCATCAGACAGACTGTCTTCAGACACTTCAGCATATATCTGATCTTCACACATCACCTTCAATAGATTGAGAAGCTAACAAATGACAGAGAGGAATAACTGGACACTGGATTAACAGACGGCATATTCTCATACCTGTTCATCGGTTTCCCAAATGAACCTTCCGATTAGCACTCTCATTTCTAAAGAGAAGAATTGGAACAGTAATTAGGCATTCACTATTTTTCATTGTAAAAACTACTCATTCTTTACATTGGAACATGTCACTAAAAATAATGGCATGTTCATGCTTTACCATTCTGGACAGAGTCGGGGGGCAGAACATAGTGGCCAATAGGCACAGATGTTACACTCTGGCGGTGTTTACATGCTGACAGGAAGTTGCTGTGGAAAACCGTTGCCCTGTTTTTTACATAATCCTCACTTTCATATATCCTAAAACATAAAAAGAAATTAGGCACACCTTTGTGGCAAAAGTTTTCAGGCATTTCAATGGTTTTGGGTACAGAAGATTTAGATTAAGTACACTCTATAGGCTGGTTTCTTTAGTATTCAGTAGTATGACCAAATCACCCTCAAACAAGAATTGTACTGTAAACTGAACATACCTTTTAGTGTCTTCAGAAGAGGCATCAGCACTGAAGAGGTAATCTGCCGTTTTCCAGGAAGAAAGCGCTCCCCCTTCAGAAACTATACATATAAACTATATAAGCTATATAATATATAAACAGATATAACATGACATATTCCCAAATGTTCATTAACAGTGTCTTTATCACTTTACGTGAGTTGTATTAGTAGCATATATAGCTAAATACTTTTCATCTCACCCCAGAAGTTGGTTAACGGTACCCTCTTTCCAACACTGTCCGAGAACCATGCCGTTTTGCCTTTAAACATGCTTATGCTGAGGTGTTTGTCACTTCAGTTTGCACAAAAACTATTTGAATGCCTTGATGCTACAATTATCCTTCTTCAGCAAAGGGTGAGGACACACCAAACGTTGACTGTGTTAGCTACTTATTTTTGAGCTATGTTCATATACCAGTTCTCACTGTTATTCAAGACATAAATCATTAAAGAATTCCGGAAACAAACACGTGAATAGTAACGGAGAACAGTTAGGAAAATTAACACGGAAAAATTATAATGTTTAGACGCTATAACGGACAAGCGTATATAGCCTATACTACATAGCTCACACATCACCTCAGGCCTGAACGAGCAATGTCCGACTCTTAAATGAATCGATCTTTTGAGTCGAGTCTTTTCACTGAATCTTTTAAACCTACTCACAAACCGGTCTGAACGATTCGTTGCGAATCAGAATCTGTTGAGTCAACAACTCGCGAACCGAGAAACGTACTCCAATCGAGTGAGCAGCTTGTTGGAGCGAAGTGAAGCTGGGATTTGTCTAATAGGTATGTCTTTATTAATGTAATCGTAAAAATGTATGTACCTGAAAACGTTTTAGAGCAGAATATCTGTCAGGAATCACTGAATCATTTTTAATCGGTTATTCGAAAGGATTTGTGCAGAAGTGAGTCGGACTTTCCATCATGATTATTTACACACGGTATGATTGGCTGTTAATTCACGAAATATTGAAGTACTTCTAATATTACAGTTAATAGCATATTGCAACTGCTTGTTTTCTTAAAAAAAACTAACACTAGCTTCTCTATTCTTTTTCTATTCTATCTATTCCTTTTCTTTTTATTTATTATACAATTAACAAAAGAAAAAAGGCCTCTAACACTAGCTTGCTCTATTCTTTTTCTATTCTATCGGTTTTCTTTTTATTTATAATATAATTTTAAAAAAAAACCTTGCTAAGTATACTGCCTTAAGCTAACTGAGACCTGTTATAGCACTTGTATATCATTGCTCTTTTGTTGACTTTGATTGCTTCCATTGTCCTCGTTTGTAAGTCGCTTTGGATAAAAGCATCTGCTAAATGTAAATGTAATGCAACAATTACATATTGTTGTTGTTGCTAACATAAATTATTCCTAGGAGTTTTGAGAGGTCATACTGAAATCCGAATATAGACAAAAATGTTCTTCATCATTTTTTGCTTTTGTTTGTCACAAATGTCCCATAAAATTATCGTTGTTTTATCTGATTGAAGCTTATGGACGCTCAATCGCAGGAAGCCCCGCCTTCTGAATGAAAGAGCCAATCGCTAATCGGTAAAGTGAGATTTGCGCTCAGGACTGCGCATGCGCACTGGCTAATCTAGCTTTTTATAACGGTATTTGAGCAAAAGTAACAACGTTTATGACACAGTTGTTGTCAGATTTCTTTGGTGATTTCAAATATGAAATTTAATCGTAAGCTTAGTGAACAGTTTTGGAGAATTTGATGTTTCCCCATTCAAAGAGATAGGAGCTGCACTTGCATGCCCGAGAGGCTTGTCTTAACCCTTGTGTTGTGTTCAGAACCCTTTCACACTTACGAGGTTACAGAGCAAAAAAAGGCACTCCCTCAAAAAATAGCTTATCACCAAATATTGGATTCAATCTTTTTGTCAACTTCTTTTCTTTCCTTTAGGTCTTCGGAAAACACAAATTAAGATATTTTTGATGAATTCTGAGAGCTCTCTGACCCTAAATGGTCACCCTGGTGCCATTTAGGAGAGTATCCACTGAACGTAAACAGCGTATGCTATTCTGTGTCAG